TCGACAATTGTAAATGAAAGATATTAAGTTCGATTATGGTCGATGAAGAGTTCAAATATACCTCTTTATACAAAGGTTTTCGTTCTTTCTTGGTCATACTTAGTTGCTCGTGCCTCTCAATCTAACAAACCTACAAAGCCACTTTTTTTGAAAATTTTGTAAAAAATGTTTATACTTAGTTGCTCACATTTATGATGGGCATTCACACATTACAACATACAAAACTTTCTTTCCTAAAGGTTACCATGGGTTTTGGTAGTTTTACCAATGAATATTACTGAGTTAGGAGATCCAATGTCAACGGAATGAGCAATCATTGGTGTAACGACAATTCTTTCAATATTCAATGAAACTTAAAAAAATAATAATAATTTGATTCTTTCTATAGCATTTCATGCTTGTAAACATGTCTAGCTATCCTATCAACATTAACAAAATTACATGAATCTCCTCATACTCCTAGACAAATTACATCTTCTCAATAATATCCATACAGATACTTGGAACAGTTGTGAATTGTGATTGGGAAAAACCATAACGCCATCGGACAGACAGCTTCCTCGTTTGACTCGCACTTCACACACACTTGCTTAGAACTCATGACAAGAAGAAAGCAATATCTCAGCCTCTCTACATATCCGACGATTGTTAGTTTCTAGCCTGTAGGTTTTGTCTTTGACGAACAAAGGATAAACGGGCAGCCAACCAAACAAGTGATTGAGTAGTAGCTGGAGTCTGGAGTGGGAGGAGGACTAGTTTCCTGCATCCCTGGTACGCCACCACCGGCCTTCTGATCATCTTCATGGCTAGCTCTTGGTCTCAGTGTCCGCCTTTCGAGTTTTCGAGCAAGTACTATCACATGGCCGGAGACGGAGGTGGCTGTGTGAGGCAAAGCAGCTTCTTTGGAGGCAAACCAGTGCTTAATCAGGGCGTGGGGTATTCTGTTATTCTTGGCTTTGGAGCCTTCTTTGCTGTCTTCACATCTTTCTTGGTTTGTTTTCTTTACCTTATTATTCCCATCTTTTTGGGATGAGTATAAATTTGTCATTGGTTACCCTTTTTATCCATTTACTCTAATAAATTGTCGCATCTCAATATGTTTACCACAATATTTCTCCACCTTTTAGGCGGGCTAATTGCTATACTGCACAGTTCTAAGATTAATCTAGTAATCCCGTTTTGAAGCACCCCAAATATGAGCTTAATTAGAGCACGAATATTTGCATTTCTGGTGTTAATTAGTGCAACAACTTTTACCTTTCTTGTTTACTTATAAATTTGGCAAATTGGCAATGACTACAATTTGAAGAGATGTACAAAGGCGATTGAAAGAATTTGAAAGTCGATGAAAGTACCCGTGATCTATATTTGTTATCACAGTTCCAGATTGCAAGTAAATGCTTGATATATTTCCAGATGTGTTGCTCCAATGCTGACACTAGTTTATTGTCGTTCTGTTCAAGGGGAAGAAGGACAAAGCAATATATATTTGTATTTTGTAAAGAACTAGATAATTAGACGGTTAATTGCTTAATTGTTTACATCAACAATTGCTGATTGTATGTTTATCTTTCGGTCAGGTATGGCTGGAGAAGCGATATGTTGGTTCCAAGCACACATCTGAATGGTTCAACACTGCAGGAAGAAGTGTTAAAACAGGACTCATTGCCAGTGTGATTGTCTCCCAGGTACAGTACAGTCCCTAACTAGAATCAGATGCAAGCTTTCACAAATTCTTCGGGGAAAATTCTGTATTTAGAGGCAACTTTGATGAACTCGTTGCTCTCCTTTGCGAAAACTTGTACAGTGGACTTGGGCTGCTACAATCTTGCAAAGTTCAAATGTTGCTTGGGAGTATGGAGTAAGTGGACCTTTCTGGTATGCTAGCGGCGCTACTATTCAGGCATGTCGAAGCTGTTTCCTTTCTGTCAATTGCTTGCTACAGTAATTATAGTCTAATTATATCACGGAAAACTAAGGCATGCCAGATTAACAATTTAACGTTTCTAAACATAGGTACTCTTGTTTGGTATAATAGCCATAGAGATCAAGAGAAAGGCTCCTCATGCTCACACTGTATGTGAAATCGTGAAAGCTCGGTATGTGTATAGTTCGATGAACTAAATTATATGATTCATTGAGTTCCATCCTTTTATTATGATTGGTTTCCTAAAGCTCATAGTTTACTAATATATTGAATAATGTTCCTCTTCTTCAGCTGGGGCACAGCGGCACACATTGTCTTCCTCAGTTTCTGCTTTTTGACAAATATTATTGTAACTGCAATGCTGCTGCTCGGAGGTTCTGCTGTCGTAAATGCACTTACAGGAGTAAATATTTATGCTGCTAGCTTCCTTATCCCTCTTGGAGTAATCGTCTACACATTAGCTGGAGGACTAAAAGCGACGTTCTTGGCAAGCTACATACATTCTGTTATAGGTAGTCACTTGAATTTCTTTCACATTTTCCCTTGATATTATTTATTATGTTTTCATCTTTTCTTGTCAGCCTAAGATACGTTTTGTTCTTCGTGTATTTGGTTTCAGTTCATGTGGTACTAGTCATATTTGTATACCTTGTGTATACGGCAAGCAGTGAGCTTGGTAGCCCAAGCATCGTGTACAACCGCCTTGTAGAGGTAGCGAGTAAATCAAGGATTTGTCAGGAGCCAGTTTCTCATCACGGCCAGTCTTGTGGTCCTGCGAGTGGGAATTACAAAGGGTCGTACCTAACAATGTTGAGCTCCGGAGGACTAGTCTTTGGGATTATCAACATCGTCGGAAACTTTGGCACTGTTTTTGTTGATAATGTAAGATGATCAACAGATTAGAATTGTAACTTATTAGCGGACATCTTTTATATGTTTCAATTCAGAACTTTATTTGTCATATTTGACAAATTAACATTGAAAACTTCAGGGATACTGGGTAAGTGCCATAGCTGCACGGCCTTCGTCAACTCATAAGGGCTACTTGTTAGGTGGGCTTGTCTGGTTTGCAGTCCCATTTTCTTTGGCGACATCATTGGGACTGGGAGCACTGGCCCTTGATCTACCACTAACCGAAAGTGAAGCAAGTCGGGGGCTTGTTCCTCCTGCCACCGCTATAGCTTTGATGGGAAAAGGAGGATCTGTTCTTCTTCTTACTATGCTTTTCATGTAAGTTCTTGCCTATATGTTTTGGTGCAAAACAACATATAACGTGCTTTTCGATCATTCAACTTCGTTATATATTGAGCAGGGCAGTGACTTCTGCTGGTTCGTCAGAGCTTATAGCAGTATCCTCATTATGCACGTATGATATCTACCGCACATACATAGATCCAAATGCAGATGGAAAGAAAATCCTCAAGGTATCAAGGGGCGTGATCCTTGCTTTTGGTTGTTTTATGGGGCTGCTGGCAGTGATACTAAACAAAGCTGGAGTTTCATTGGGTTGGATGTATCTGGCAATGGGAGTGCTCATCGGTTCAGCAGTTATTCCCATCGCATTCATGCTTCTATGGAGAAAGGCAAACGCGATTGGTGCAATCCTAGGAGCAACTGTTGGCTGTGTTCTTGGGATCATCACATGGCTATCGGTCACGAAAATTGAGTATGGTCGCATAAATCTGGACACAACAGGTCGAAATGCACCAATGCTTGCAGGAAACCTCGTCTCTATACTTAGTGGTGGAGCCATACATGCTATCTGCAGCTTCTTGTCACCACAAAACTACGACTGGGGTACCACTAAGAAGATCACCGTGGTTGAGAAGGCAACGAGTGATCTTCCGGCAGAAGAGTACAAGGAAGAAAAATTACTGAGAGCAAAGGCATGGATAGTGAAATGGGGTGTTGGCTTTACTGTTGTGATCGTTTTACTGTGGCCTCTTCTCTCTCTTCCAGCAGGTAAATCCAGCAACTTAGCGAACTTAAACGTTGGTAGGAAGATGAACCTTTCTTGTTGCTTATCTCATGTTTGGTGTGTGAATGCAATGCAGGTGATTTCAGTATAGGGTACTTCACATTCTGGGCGGTCATTGCAATAGCATGGGGCACAATCGGTTCAGTTGCAATCATCGCTTTACCAGTGATAGAAAGCTGGGAAACGATCCAGAGCGTAATTCTGGGAATGTTTACAAATGACAGGCTCATGGAGAAGGTTGAAGAAATGAATCTGAAGCTGCACACAATCATGTTAGCCATACCGGAATCTGAGAAGATTTACTTGCTTGAGAAGGAGAGGGCTAAAAAGAAAGAAGCATTGGAGCAAGGAAGCCACTCACTTTCTGCTGCGGGACAACCATGAGAAACTGAGAATTGGGTTGCACACCCCTCTTAATCATGGCCCTTAATTTTCTTTGATTTGTTTCAATCGAATGGCTCAGAAAAGAGAGGGTTGTGCAGGAGGTGAAAAAGGGTGTACAAATATCATTTCCTGACGTGTAATCAAACGCTACTCAAAGAATTGTATAATGTCTGTGTTCTCAACATATTTGCATTTGATAGGATGATTCAAGTATAACTTATTATACGTAGATTCTTTTTACACGTAAAAAGAACGAGAAGAAAGGCAGCCCAACTCAACCGGGAACTGGTCGAGGATAACAGCTACTCACTCTTTCTTTAACAGAGTGTAGGACACAGCTAAAAGCCACCTACCAGGAATTACGGTCACAGTCAACACCAGATGACCGATCTACCGTTGTTCCAGCTCAACGATAAGATCGAGGTATTCCTCGACACTTGTAAATGAAAGATATTAAGTTCGATTCTGGTTGATGAAGGGTTCAAACCAAATTATTATATCAGATCCGTTGTGTGGCTTATTATGGTCCCCAACCTCTTTAGTGTAAATATATATCGTTGAAAAAATGCATTTAAGATCCGAAATTCCAATTCTTCCTATCGAATGGAGAGTTTAATGGAGAAAATGTTGCTACTGGGGTCTTTGACTCCAAGTGCCCTATACACCTCTTAGTGTTAATATATCATACAAAGGTCACAAGCCAAAAAGAAATATTCACAGAACGTTACCCTTTTCGATGAGATGGTACAAAACGTTTCGACATTAGTGACGAAAAGATTACAGTGCTAGCATATCTAGTTATAATATTTACAGCTCGAATACAATTGAGCGAGTTGTACTTAACCATACGCATAATTTATCCCTCTGAAGAGGATGTACCTGAACAAGTAAATGTCAAGTCGCCGTCCAGTTTCCGGTTTCTTCAAAAACAGAGCTTAAGGGTAGACAGATCTTGACCTGTATGGCAGCTTCTGAGAAAGTAAAACCTGCCTCAAAAAGAATTGCAGGCATAAGGTTTTGAGTTCGAAGCAGGGGTAATTTGCGTTAACTTGGTCGAATTAGGGCGTGAAGTAGAAAATGATTCTTAAATCGACCACCAGTTTCTGGCAACAAATACGTCGATGGGCCACCAAAACATCAACTGTATGATGTAGATTTCATGGTGCTCTATTTAACATCATCTTTCCTTGCAGATGAATTGGTTACTGTCCGGTCTTTAATGGCTTCCCTTTCAAGCTTCTTTTTTTCGGCCTCAGCAAGTCTTTCATTTTCCTCTCGTGACTTCTTGAACATCTTGACAAAAACGAACAAGACCTGTGTCACTGCAAGGCCAAGAAACGTTATATACAATACATCAAAATGTTATTTGATTCTACATGAAAATTAAATAGTTAAAACATAAATCAACAATAAAAATCAAAAAAAGAATTATAACCGGTATATCTGTAATTTGCTTCGCCTTGAATATTTAAGTTTGTACTAGGAAAAGAAAAACTAAAGAGGTGAACAAAAATTTACGGAAATTGAAATACTTATAAGGTCTTCCACATGGTTTATGTGAGTTTGATTCGCATATATAGAAATCAAACTCACGAGACCCGTATATTACACTCAACAATGGAACTCCCCACATTAGAATTTACCACCCCAGCATGTGAGTTTGATTCCAATTTATGGGCATCACTCAAAATTTTCAGCCCACTACGAAGGTTAAGCTTTGATATCAGAAAGGACAAAAACATATGAAGTACGGATAATCGTAGATAAAGATTCAAGAGAACAGTTTCTAGATGTTTAAGAGAATAAGTGACAGAATCATAGCAGTGAAATTGGGAACAAGAAAATAATTGAAAAGCTAGCTGAAACCAAGAAACATGAAAATAAGATGTGAAGCAACTAAATTAGTCTATGAAGACTCCAATCATACAAATGGGAAACTTTTTCAACTTTGGTCTCACTCCTTCATTACCATCTCATAGGCTACCTCACACATAATTGGCATTTATATTCCATCTAGAGAAATAAACACGTGGAAGCAAACGAATACAGTTTCTTGTTGCACCAAACTCATTTTCTAGCCTTCTATAATTATCTAATTATTTTGTAAACTATGACTGCAGAAAGAATAGGTTCATACAAATGGAAGATAAGTCTTTAATAGGTTGGACATGTCAAATTACGATAGAAAAAAAAAAAGAGGAGGGGGTTTTCAAGAACTTGATCCCTAGTCACTCTGGTCTCAACGGGCTTTCAGCTTTTCCAAATAATAGGTTAAGAAAAGTGATACGAATTCCCATAAGTTGAGGTGGGCCAATAATGACCTCTTTGTCCACGATTCAAGTTTCAAGAATGCACATAAGTTTTTATTTCTAATTCTTTCATTCAAAAATCGTTGTCCATAAGATTTGAACACATGGCCTTCTCTAACAAAATGGAGACTCTGGTGTATTCATGAGGTAAAGAAAGTAGCAGACCTTGTTCAAAAGGACACCGAGCTGGATCCTCCCCGAAGTATTGAGACAAAGAATCAGCATTTCTTCCCTGCAAGAAGAAGAATTAAGCCATAAGACCTGTAAGCTACACAGTACAAACTACAAAGATATCTACCAACAAGATAAAAACTGTGATAAGGACTGCACTCACCACTTCAGAGTACAAGGAGATTAACGACCTTACGTCAGCTTCAGCAGTATCAAGAAAATTCTTCAGCACCTGCAGAGGAGGAAGTTTTTTTTTTTATGTAAATGCAGAACCACATCTTAATCATCACCCATGTTTCTTTATCTGCAAAATATACTAATTAAAAAATATATATCTCTTCAAAGAAGCAGTCGTGAATGAAAAAGCATGGGCATAAAGAAATTCGTTATGTTTGCTAATAGTACTTTGTAGAACGTGCATTTTCAAGACCAGAAGGAGGTCTTAAAGGAAAATCAACAAGATCCAAGGATAATGCTTGGGCCCAAACTAGTTAGGACCTCTACATCACTACTGTGTGCTCAGATTATAACATCTTTTGTAGATTGTGAAACATTTTGCCTCATGACATTCTTTTTTCACTTCAAAGTTTTAAATACAAAAATATGATATAACTGAAACATTTAAGAAGGGTGACTAGTTTTCAAGAGGAAATTGCAAACAGCAATTAATTAATTAATGTTATCCTTATAAGTGGAAAGTAGTATACATCGTTTAGTTAAGGAACCAAATATCATCAGTATTTCTCACTTTTTGGAAACCAGCAGAGATTGCTCCATCGTTTTCTGAAGCAGCAAGTTCTTGCTCAACCTTTTCCAGACCTTTACTCACAGCTTGCATTTCTTCAGCCAAAGCTTTCAATTGAATCTGGTTATTTGACGTTATGATCAAATTAAATGAGCTCTGAATTGGTTACGACCAGAAGTTACAGTAACATCAGAAAGAACCAATTCTAGCAACTTAATCAGCTTACCTTAGAAGCAGCTTCTAAATGAATCAGATCTTTATCAAAATCCAGCAACTCTGGCATTTTCTCAGCAAGGAGCTAATGGAGAAAAAAGTTGATTAAGACTACATAAATATCCTAAAACTAACACCAACTACAGAATGTGAAAGATAAAGCAAGAAATTTGTGCAGATGGATATTAACATCAACAATTTTGACAATGTTGTAGATGGAACAAACTTAAGAAACAATAAATAACACTGACACGAGTTGATGTTTAAGGAAAGACCACAAAAGAGTTCAGGTGATATTTTAGTATCTATCCATATAACACCCTTTTATTTATATGCGAGGATCTCATGAAAGAAGTAAAATTCAGTCCTAGCATTATTGTCCTTTCTTTTTCTTTTGAGTTTTTAAGAGTAATGTGTAAATTTCAAATATTATACCTTACACAAATAATGCATTAAAGTCATTTTATTGTTTCTTGCACGGGTATCAGACAATTTAAGAAGGCTGTCCAATTTGAATCCTACAGCAGATCCTGCAAAATAAAAAACAAATTGTAGGCTAAAAACCATAATGGTAATAATATTAATACCAAGAAATAAAACGGCAAAATAAATCATAAGAAGAAATAAAACAAGCATTAGACAATGGTACCTCGAGCAGTGCCTTGATTCAAGGCATTTCCCAAAGTAAGGATTGTCTGCATTATCTGTCGCAATTTCACAGATTCCTTCACCTGTACATACAAGTGGCTTTAGATGAGCGTAAAAATATGCTCGTACACTAGTTTAATAACCATTAATTATCAAGATACCTCATTAGCAGCACCATTGATTGTATTCAGATTAGATCTTAAATCATTCACCTGATCAAATTCAAGCACCAAAATGCTGTTAAGCTTGTACCACGAAAAATCAAATAAAGAAAACAAGCTAGAACTTACCTGACTAGAGAAGGTAATTTTGAAAGCAAATACTCGCAACTTGGACTCTACTCGTGGAACCTTCATTAGCTCCACGAAAAACTGAAGATAAACACACTGTTAGTAGGAAATCCAAGAGAGCACACATACCTCTAAGATGACGGCATCAGAAAGAACCTGTTCACACTTCCCTAGCATGTCCTTGTCGCCTGCATAGTTCTGGGAGTCAAAAAAAGCAAAATCAGCACTCTTAAAGAATTAACCCTCTAAACTAGACAACCTCTGGAAAAACAAAAAGTATATAATTTGGGCATAACTCTTGATTCTTCTTCGAAACAAAATTTAATCAATTAATCTTGTATGCATTACTACTTAGGACAGCAAGAAGAAAAAAAACTATCTGCCATGAGACTGCAATCCTTTTTTTTTTTCTTTTTTTTTTTTTTTAATTTCTATTATTATTTTTTCTGAGAAAAGAAAATTCTATTTAACAGCTAAAATAGCGATACGAAACTTAGTGAACTAGACGTCCACAAACGAAATGATTCAACCCTCAAAATAAACTCTAAAAAATATCCTACAGCAGGTCCCCAATCTAAAAAGTCACAGAAAATGAAAGACACCGGAGCCCATCATCCAGAACACCAAGTTACTGCATACTTTTAAGAGAAGGGAAAAATTATTAGTTCATTTAAAATATGAAGAAAGCATGATAAGGATCGAGTTACATGGAGCAAGAATAACAGCAAGATCTATCAAAAAGACATGCACGTGACCAACATGTGGAAGCATGCATTTTTGTGAAGAAGAGTGGAAAGGAAGAGTGACTTACCTTCAAAGTTTCCATTTCTTCTTTGGTAGGACAAAATTTAATGAGATTCTCAACCTGATCAATGTCAAGAACAGAAGAATCCAGAGCTAGAACTGCATTCTGGAAGCGCACATATCTAGTTTCAGCACCATACTCCAATAAACAAATAGCATTTACGTACTAACCACTACCAAAATTGCCAAAGTTTACTTTTTTTCATTTTATCCTTTTTTAGAAGATAATAACGAAAGAAAACAGAGGGCGAGCTTTGGCGCAATGGAAAGGTTGCTCCTTTGTAAGGTCATCGGTTCAAGCCGTGGAAACAGGCTCTTTGCAAAGCAAGGGTAAGGCTGCGTCAATAGATGTCCCCCCCCCCCCAAAAAAAAAAACCCACAAAACCGTTGCAAAGTGGGAAGCTTTGTTGCTTGGGGTTGCCCTTTTTTTAGTAATGAAAGAAAACAAGTAAAAGCTACATAATATTTGAGGAAGGATATCCAGCTTATTTAGCATAACAGAATGCCCTACTACTTTCATACAAGGTCATACAGTTTCTGGCAGATCTACTCAACATTGTTATGGTGATAATAAAGGATGAAGTGGGGCTGGTCATACTGGTGACTGTAGTCCCAGGAGGTGTTTGTGAAGTCTGACTCTGCAAAGACTCTGGTTAAAGATGGTAAAGCATGGACCATGCACGTTGATATTCCATCCAAGCATGATATTTCTAGCCTCACTTTTACGATGCACTTGCTAATCGGGTATGCAAAACTAGTTTAAACAACAATACATGTGCCTTCTGGTTATGTAAGACGCATGACAATTGATTGTCTTACAATCTACAATATAGCAATTGTGGCTTGATTCTACAGTTACAGGTCCAGAATTCTATCATCAATCCAATTATAAAATGTCATATTACATCAGAACAACAGAATGGTTTCCACACCTGAATGAGAGAAATGTCACGAGACATGAGGACATCAATGCTAAAGCATTAAAAGCATTGATGTGCTCAAGAGTAAACAAAAAGACTAGACCTAGAGAGTTTATTTGTCTATCCACATTCCCCCAAGGCATGCAAAAGGAGGCCCACGAAACCAGAGGGAAACAGATTTTTCTGGTGATATATATGAAATGTACATGAGTAGGAGGAAGAACTTACAATCATATCTGGCAAGGGGATCTTTACTTTTGAAAGCATAATTTCACAGTTATACGCTCGTCGCAAGTCAATCTGATGAATAGAGAGACATAGCAATAAATTTAGTTTCATATATCTCCATGGAGCATAAAGCATAAGTTTACTCAAAATCTGCACAAAGTTGGTCTCATACATCTCTATTGAAAGCATTGGTCTGCTCAAGAGTAAACAGAAGAGAGAGACAAACCAACAAACTTAGTCTCATACATCTTTATGTCAAGAGAAACCATAAAGCATAAGGACCCTGTGGAGCATTATATTCATCTTTTCTCAAAGTTCACACAAGTTTCAGCTTTGCAAACTTATAATTGTTGAATTAGGAATCATAATTTGAAGAACTCTATCTTTTACTAGGTTTTTCAAATCGACAAACGAGAACAAGTAACACTTGATCTTAGCTTAGGTTATCAACTCCCATTGCTTTGGCAAGTTTTAGTATGCAAATAAATGCCTACAGCACTCCATCCTCCCACTACTTCGGTGCTTACATATGATTGAAAAATTGGCATACAGAACATGTGCGTTCAAATGAAAAATTAGAAGATCCGGTTTCCCTATCCTCCTATAACTTGGTGCTTTTACCAAGTACATATATATCACTGAAACAAATTATAATCACGAATCAATTTATCAATTTACCACGTACATATATATCACTGAAACAAAATATAATTATGAATGCCAATGACAAAGCATTGAACACGGTAACATTCTAAAGGAGACCATAACCTACTACATGGACAAAGAAAGAAAGCTAACCAGTTGCACTTTCTCAGGTTTGGTAATGTTAGAACCACGTCGACCAGCAGTCTTACTGCCATGCACATCTGAAGCAGCGGCTGCTGAGAACAGACTTTCAAGTTCTGATATATCTATTTCAGGAGCCCTGAGAAGAACTTCCATAATGTTACATCAGAAGACAAAACGGAGAAAACAAATTGGGCAAAAATAGAGAAAGAAAGCCACAAGGAGAAAAAACATACACATAAGCAAAAACCAACACAAGTCAAATTAGCACCACATGTGAAATAAAACGAAAAATACTGTAACACTTTACAATGACTCCACTTAATTCATCACAATTAATATCATGTTCCTGCAAAACCATTCATTTAACTAAAGTGACTTTTCTTAGAGCTAGTGTTCTTTTTCATTCAATGAAAGTTAATCATCTAGAACAATTTCTATAAGAATGCACCTTGGCTGATTGCCTTGTTTCTGAAAATCCTCCCATAAACTCTCTTTCATTGCTCGATTAACTTTCACCCAGTGTAAGGGCTTTAAGGAAGTTTTCTTTGGGGCAATAGAAGTCGCACGGCCTTTTCCAACAATCCCCAGCCCAGAAGATGCTTTGCCCCTTCCAACTGATGGTGGCGGTGGTGGTGGTGCACTAGAGCCCTTTGTTCCAGGTGGTGGAGGCACAGATGCTGTTGCACCGCGACTTGGTGGCATTGGTGCAGGTGGTGGAGGAGGTGGGGTTGGCCTTGTAGGTCCTGAAGGAGGTGGAGGTGGGGGCGGTGGCCTAGTATAATTACCAACGCTACCACTCATAGGAGGAGGAGGAGGAGGTGGGGGTGCTCCAACCCCAGAACTAGAAATGGACGGTGGAGGAGGAGGAGGTGGGGGCGGTGCCCTACTCTTAGTACCAAGGCTACCACTCATAGGAGGAGGTGGTGGAGCTGGCGGTGCTCCAAAAACAGAACTAGAAGTGGATGGTGGAGGAGGAGGAGGCGAGGGTGGTGCCCTATTATTAGTACTAAGGCTACCACTCATAGGAGGAGGTGGTGGAGCTGGAGGTGCTCTAAAAACAGAACTAGAAGTGGACAATGGAGGAGGAGGTGGCCGAGGTGCCACTATTGGTTGTAGATTGTTACTTACAGGAGGAGGGGGAGGCGGTGGTGGCGGTAGCTTGTTAGTTGTACTTCCCAAAAACGGAGGAGGTGGAGGTGGTGGTGGTGGTGGTGGTGGCGGCAGCAAAGACTGCTGACTAGACTTAAAGGGAGGAGTCGGTGGGGTTGGCGGTGGCACTGTAGAAGAAGTTGGTGGAGGTGGGGGAGGAGGTGGCAGTGGGCTTTTGCTAGAGACAGAATGAGATGGAACAAGGGGTGGTGGTGGTGGTGGTGGCGGCGGCGGTGGTGGACCTCTAGTAGTAGTCAAATGTAAGCGGTTCACAGAATCTTTACTGGATATGCTAAGGGGTGGAAGTGGTGGGGATGGTGAAGACCCTCTACTAACACCAATAAAAGGAAGTGGTGGTGGTGGTGGCGGCGGCGGCGGAGGTGATGGTAGAGTGTGAAGAGCAGGACGTAATGGTTCTGTTGTTAGGGATTTTGGTGCCAATGATTCAGGGAATGAACAAGGTGGAGGTCCTTTACTTGTATCTAATGAATGCTGATGAAGAGAATCCAGGACAGGTCCAAATGACTCTTGATCAGGAGGCTCTGAAGTAAAGTTCGCATCAGGTGGGCCATCATTCTCATATGATAAGGGTACAGAATCAAAACTGTCCAGCATCAATGCTTTTGTTGAATCTGCTGAAGCCTTGGAAACAGTGTCAAATGCTTCATCAGCACTGTCAGCAGTGCTAGATGCATTATTTTCTTCTTCAGAGTCAGCAGGTGATGAATATAAACTCATTTTGTTTTGAAACCTTGACAATTCTTTCGCATCACTTAGGACAGAGAGCTGTTTAAGAAACCACAAGGCCGCATCATCATTGCTATCAATCCACTCAACTCCATTGAAAAGTTCTTGAACCCTAGAAAAAGTATCATGGGGCAATCCACCTTTCTCCTCACCATTCAAAGTTGTAGTTGGAGCTCTAGGAGGAGAAATGCTCTCAAACTCCCCAAACAATACCTGAATAGATGAGTTCATTTATGGTCAGATGGAAGGATAACTGATATGAGTATACATACATAAAAATAAGGAGTAGTGTTTTCTTGCCATTCTAAGTATCTAGACCATTGATTAGGATGATTGTTGCTATAATGTGTCTTCCAGATTCACAGTCTGGCAACAAAGCATTTGTCTAGCAAATATGAGTACAAGTCTAGCACCCTCAAGTCAGACCAAAGCATCAGCCACTACTTGTAACTTAGAGAGAACTAAAATCAAGTGCACTTTGTTCTAGACAAACCTAACGTCTCAGGCACATTTAATCTTATTTGTAATAAGCTAAAACAAAGGACTCGATAATGGTCACCTCAGCTCGGAAGCCTTTTGGATAGCGCTCCTTTGCATCCCATAGAATGTCCAAGTTATCAGAATTCAGCATCAGTATGTTGGAACGAATAAATGCAGTGTTGAACATAATACGGAACATCATAACTTCCCTCTCTGGATCCAAATCCAAGTGGACACACTCCAATACAACATCTCCTTGCACTAAACACTGAATGTCAATTTTGATGACATCACAGTCTGCCTGCAAAGAAGGAACACTCATAACAGAAGTAGTTGATAAAACTTATAAGGACTATTGGCTAATGCGAAAATGTAGAGTAACAAAAATCAAGTGGGATTATGCTGAGAACAGTAGTTACAGTACAAATCTTACTTGACGGTAGTTCCGAAGTGTCTTCTTCCTAGGCATGGAGAATATCATCTGGGTTGAAAGCCCGCCCTTACTAAGGAGATTCCGACCAAAAATTCTGATAACTGGAGTGCAGCCTTTTTGGGTATCAAAGTTTGGAATGGCTCTAAGTATAACACAGTCTAAAGAAAGTGCCCGCTCAGGAGGTGGCCACTCTGGAGCTATATTTCTCCTTGCCACGTACTGAAGGTACCGCAGCTGAGATGGGAGAGGATTTAAAGGCGACAAAAGCTGCAATAAACCTTTAGGAGCTTCTCGATGTACAATTTCAAGCGTCTTGCGTTCCCCACTATGCAGTTTTCTGAAAATGAGAAAGCTAGCTAAAAGGAAAGCCAAGAGTGGCCAACCTCCCCTCTCACAATGGAGAAGAATAACATTTTGTTGCTTGTCATTCAAGAGCCAACTCTCACAAACACGAAGAAAATGTTGAATAAGAGATAATGGGAGGAGTGGACAACCCTCATACTGTCGAGGATAATCCATAACTGTAACATCATATTCGCATAATATCTCAGCAAATTGGCTACGTTTCTCACCCTCCCGAAAGTTGAATGCAAGGAAGGACGAGTCGGGGAATTCTTCATGTAACTCAGTAATGATTTCGTGTAGATATATTTGGTACATTTCATCAGGCAAGACTTCAGTGGAAAAACAGGAATCAAATACTGCACATATTTTCATGAAAAGAAAAATACCGAATTCAGCCAAGTCACACACAATGACATAGAAAGAATAGCAAAACAAGATTAAAGAACGAAAAAAGAATGTTACCGTATACTCTCTCTACGAATTCGAGCAACCCATCTGGGGGTCTTTTGTAAAAGAATCTACTCAGAAGTGACATTTTCCTCTTATTTTCTTTAATTTTCCCAACAGAAATGCATGTGTGAGTTTGCCAATAGACTGAACCTGAAAAACCAAAATTATACAGAAAAAAAGGCACTAATCACTGATATATTAAAACAAAACACAACAAATATATCAAATCACCGATTGGTAACAGGAAAATTGATTGAATTGAGTTAAAAAATTGGAAACTTTCCGCATTAACTCAAGAAATTCCATCAGTCAAGCTAATATAACCCTAATTACAGAAACCCTTTGCCCGAAAATTCATCATTTTCTCAGTAACCAAACAGGGAGTGAACTTTACGCGGTATCGGTGCAAACCCAGCTAAAAAGCAAGACGTCGGAACCAACAAGCTAACCTGAGATAACAAAAGCGCGAACCGGAGAGCGGCGATTCGGGCGGTGGAAGTCGAACCAGTTCCCCCCCCCCACTTAATGGCTGCTTGAATAATGAGAGTTCAGGCGCATGAGACCCTTCAATTTCAATTTTGAATTCCTTTTTCTCGCCAAAGTTTCAAACTTTAAAAACCAGGTGGTTTTTTGCATACCTCATATTTTCCCCCAACGGGGACCCAAAAAAATCAGAAAATTAAATTTTAGGCTAAATTACAAAAAAATTACTTTAAGTGGTATCACGATACTTTCATATTTTATCTTTTAAAATTAACAATGTCATACATCATCTTATGAATTTGTGTCAATGTTATACTTTTCATTAACTTAGCGTTAATTTCTCAGTTAAATGTCGTGGCTTAATTCAGAGCCCACTTTCTATTAAAAAAATTATTAAAATATTATTAAAAACTAAAAAAAAAAAAATTAATATTTTTTTAATATTAAAACAAAAGTTAAAAAAAAAAACACCCTCACTTCGTCCCTTCTCCCCCCCCCTTTTCTTTCTCTTCTCCCCCATCTTCATCTTCCTGCTTAAACTTCAACCAAAAAAATAAATAAATAAATAATTTGAAAACCCATCAACCCCCCTCCCCACTCGAAGAAGAAGAAAGGAAAAAAAAAAAAAACACACAACCTAGAAAGAAGAACATGAAGAAGAAGAAGAAGGAAAAAAGAAAAAAAAAACCAAACCAAACGCAATTCGTCCCCCCCCCCCCAAACAAACCTAACCCCCTGCCAACCTCAAATCCACCACTCCTACCCCATCATGAAGGTTTCCCAATTCCACCTCAACGGGATCTGGTTTTTTTTTTTGGGTTGTAGGTAGTGGGTGCGAGGGTGGGTGCGGTTTTAGGGAAGACGGGAGAGGGGAAGAAAGGAAGAGGGGTCGGGGAAAATCGTGAGTTGGGGGGGAGATAAATTGGTTTTTTTTTTTCTTCTTTTTTCTGGGTTGCAGGAAGGGCACTAGAAGGGGGAAGAAGATGAAGATGGGGGAGAAGAGAAAGAAGGGGGTGGGGAAAGGGGACGTGAGGCTTTTTTTTATTTTTTATTTATATATATTTTATTTATTTTTACTTTTCTTTATTATTTTAATATTTAAAAATTATTAAATAATTTTTTTTTTAGTTTTTAATAATTTTTTAATAGAAAATGGGTTCCAAATCAAGCCATATTAGCATTTAACTGAGAAATTTACGCCAAGCTAACGGAAGGTATAACATTGGCACAAATTTGTAAGATGAGGTATGACATTGTCAATTTTAAAATATGAGGTATGAAAGTGTCGTGACACCAATAGTTGAGGTAGTTTTTTGTACTTTACCCTAAATTTTATTTATGATATTTTCCTTATGTAGTTTTTGCATCAAGACACCTAGGGTGTATTTGTTTGGACTCACTGTCCTTCACTCGACTAGACTGGACTAAGTTTTAGTCCAGTCTTGTGTTTGTTCCCTATCCGGACTAAGTTTAATGGGATTAGCAGGGACTAGCCTCGACTGGTTCCTTCACTAACAGGTCTTAGTGAGACCCCCCGATTCGGAGAGGACAGTTAAGCCGCCCTCTAATCCCGTCATCTCCCTTCTCTTTTTCACCTTCGCACATCAACCACAGCAACTGTAGCTTGCTTCCTCGTCCCTTTCGCACCTTCGCCTTTTCCCTTCTCCTTCCTTGTCGCATCACCTCATAGCCGTCCAACATATAAACAATCGACGATGGACCTGTATCGCTGACGATGGTCTTCGTTTGGTGCTTTTTGCTGCGTCATGAAATCAGAGTCCTTGCAGCATAAGGAAAAGAAGACAAACAGGCGTGCGTTGTATTTGGGTGCCCTTTTCTACATAATATTGATTTCTTAATTTTCATTTGCTAGGTTAGTGGAATGGATTGTCATCTTAGTTTGTGTAATTTAGATTTGCTTCATTTGAAATTTACAACTCTAATTGGGGTTGGATTTTAGAAATATCTTTCGTTTCCGTTTTTTCGTGTTGAATTTCAGTGAATTTCCTTCATATTCGCTTCTTTGATATTTGAAGGTTTTTTTTTCTTGATATGATGCTGATATGAATCTTTGAAGCATAAAAGTTTGTGTGAATTCATTGATTTTGATGTTGAAATAAATCTTTCAAGGATTTTTTTTATAACATACTTATGCTGGTTTTTTGGTAAGAGCTAATTCATAATTCTGATATGGTCGATATACACTTATGCTGGCATTCAATTAACATAATCATATTATTTTTTGTGTGTTTGTGTACAATGTGAAGAATATATTTAGGTTTCGATTTGACCGATACATACTTATGTGCAGTCATTTTCTCCAACCAAATTGTATAGTGTCTATTATATAAATAATGGGTATTTTGCAATTTAGGATTTGATTGTGGGTTAGTTAATATACCATGTTGTTGTATAAAATTCCTTTGTTGTGATGGTTCAAGTCCATTTATACTGATTTTCGTTATCTTACTTCTTAGTTCGACGCTGCATCAAACACTTCACTAAATCAGTCCAACTTAGTCTAGTCTAAGTCAGTTCAGCTTAGTCCTTGAAGGTAGTCTAGTCTGAGATAGTTCGGTTCAACAAACGCACCTCTAGGGTGCATTTGTTTCACCTCCTTATGAGGGACTGGCTTGGAATGGCTTAAGTAGGACTATAATACTGTGTTTGGTATGTCCTCGAACCCAAAAGAGTGGGACTCGCCTCAACTATGAGGCCCTCCAGGGTTCACTAAAGTAGGCTACCTAATCCCAAGCTTTTGCTTGGTATTTAGGAAGGCCGACATTTAATCCCCAACTTTTGCTCACTGGCATCCTGTCCCCGCTTCTTTTGTTGCGTTGTCACCAGGGCATCGCAATGCTTGCTCTTTTATGGCCCAAGCCCGGTCCGCGCCGGGGGGTGGGGGGGGCAACTACAGCTCACAGCCTAAACGATGCTGCTGTTGGTGGACATTACGGCCAAAATCGGCATGTTGGTGGAGAACATGCTGACGTGCGAGCCGAGAAGCGAATTTCGAGTCCCTAGTTGAAAAATCGCATTGAATTTGAAGAACTCAAATGAGCAGCAAGTCTTTGAGCTCTGTGGGAATTTTAGTGTTTTCTTTCTCTTTTCTAGAAAGCGGATGTTTGGCTTCCTGCTGCCCTGAGAAATTTGCAGTTTGGGTTGGATATTAAAATTGGGAAAAATGAAAACGGGTTGATTTTTTGGGGCATATTTGACAGTTTGAGGGGGGAGGGGGATGGGGAGAGAGAATGGAAAGATGAGTTTGAAAGTTCGAAAAATCAAGTTCTTCTAATTCATATGAGTGGTAATTCAATAAAAAGTTGAGTTCCCAATTGAAAAATTCCAAGGGTTTTCAGCTGGGCTTTTAGGTTCCATTGATTTATTGGAAAGTTTTGTTTTTGGGTTGAGAGAATGTAAAATCTGAGGGTTCAAATCACGTTTTTGAGAGAATGTAAAATTTGGTTTCTAGGTGTAGTTGGATTCTGCAGAAAATTTTGATGTTGGGTTCAGTTTCTTTGCATTAGAAAATTGTGAGATCCCACATCGCCCAGGGGAGTGATCCTTATATGTATATTCTCATCCCTACCTAGTACGAGGCCTTTTGGGAACTCACTGGCTTCGGGTTCCATGGGAACTCCGAAGTTAAGCGAGTAGCGCGCGAGAGCACTCCCATGATGGGTGACCCACTGGGATGTTCTCATGTGAGTTCCCAGAAACAAAACCATGAAAGCGTGGTCAAGGCCCAAAACGGACAATATCGTGCTATGGTGGTGGAGCGGGCTTGGGATGTGCAAAAATTCTGGAGAAAGTATTGTTAACAAAAACTTTTTTTCCTTTTTGTCCTTAATTCTGCTTCTTAGTCCGACTCTGCACCAAACACTTCACTAAGTTAATCCAGCTTAGTCTAGTCTAAGCCAGTCCAGCTTAGTCTATAAAGCTAGTTCAGTCCGAGATAGTCCGGTGCAACAAATGCATCCCAACCTTTTGTATTTTTTCTAGTTTTAATTCGTGGTTTTTTTTATATTGGAGTTTCAACCTTGAATTATCGAGAATGACTAAGTTCAACCAAATACTGTTTCGATCGAATCAAAGATGATGTTGATGTCAATGCAAAATTCCTCCGTCTTTAGTCTTGACAAAATGCACCTGCACAACAATTAACACATTTGATCAAATACCTAAGTCTCACGCGCCCACGAGGTGGGGGGTAGGCCAATGAATCTCTGATGATATGCCTAAGTCAATTTCTCTGAGAGAGTAAAGTGTTTAGGGCTTTTTTAGAGTAGCAAAAGCTTCTGAAATTTGGTAGAATATGGGGTACATATAGGGGAGAGGGTCGGCCATAGTGTTAGGGTTTTACCCTACACATGATGGCATCCTATTGGCCAAGGTTTATAGAGAAATATTCTCAAGATATTAAATAGAAAATAATATCTTGAGATAATGGAGTAATTATCCCTAATTGATTTAAATTGGGATTACTTACTTGATTGAAGTCAATATTCAATTGGAAATGTATTAAAAATAGAATTTGGGTAATTAATCATTATCTTTAATGCTTTGACTTTTCCTTGCTAAGGGCAGGTGAGCTGTGGGCCATATTCAGCTGTTGAGACCTTCATGGGTGCTGCATGTGAGAATATCTGATGGGTCTGCCCAGTTACTGAGGGCAATCTTGTTTTTCTTGAACAAAAGTCTACATGTCGTCTCTAGAATTTTTGGAATTATTTTGGGCTCCACAGTAGACGTAGAATTAATAAATAGGATTGGAATTTTCAGGATAGGGAATCCCTAAACTAAGGAAAACTAATGAAAAATCCAAAAAAAAAAAAACAAAAAACTTTAGTTTTAATGAAAAATAACAAATAAATGTGCAGTGAATAGTACTAGGGAAATATAAAAATAATTTGAAATATTGATTCCATGAAATTGCTCGAAAATTTTGAAAATTTTGAAATTTTCGAAATTGAAATGTATGTTAATAAACCAAAACTCTTTGGAATTAATTGTAAGTCACTTCTCATCCAGAAGATTGGAATGGGACCCCTTAATTTCCATCCCATCCGTTCAAACATCAGACTTCAGCTCCTTTAAACTGATCAAATCTAATTTATCATATCATTATTTTTTTTATAGTCGTCATTTTCTTATTGGTTAT